ATCGATAAATCAACAGTCCCCTAAATCTGGTTTTCACATGACGTCGCTAAAATTCAAACTACAAAACTATTGATCCTCCTCAGATTTTACTTTCATGAAACTAATATTCATACAAAGTTTCGCTCCAAGTGGGTTCTTGGTTTTGTAATAGACTACGCTTGCATTTCTAAGCTTTTACGTGACGTGGCATTTACATGACGGGCAAGAAAGCTGTCATGTTGGTTAAAAACATGACTTATTTCGGGGAATTTGGCTATCTGAGCAGTTCACGTATTAGAAAAAGTATTATTTTTAAAATGTTTTTGAGTTCCTAGAGAGATAAATTCACGCTTTTGTAGCAAAACTCAGTGACAGATGTTTCTGCTGGTTTCCGGCCGCCATCCCGAGAGGCGCCAGCATGGCGTCTCCATCAAAATCTCTATAAATTTGGGTAAAACATTTTATAATGACCCATCAAAATCTAACTGTTGGAAACTGTTTTGAGCACTTCTTTATTACAGATATTGACGAGTGTCAATTAGGGTCTTATTCCTGTCATGCCCAAGCATATTGTGTAAATGTTGCTGGTTTCTACAGCTGTAGATGTTTACCAGGCTATGCCGGTGACGGGCATAGTAATTGCAATGGTTTTTTTGCTTGCACTGCCAGCTTTTCTTCCCTCTGCGATTTTTACCCAAAATAAGAAGGGCCCCGGCCCCCCCGAATAGAATATGAACAGCGGATCAGGTATCATAATTTTCAAATAAAGGAACTACCTACCTAAAAGTGTTATTTTTTTCTCGAGAAACTCAGGTAGTCAAGCCTGCCAGCGATGAGGCCAAAATATGTAAAAGAAGGCCTGATACATTCCATTGTCACGTGCTCCGCTAGCTCCAGATAAAATATCTATCGACGGAGATATTAGCATGCCTAGCTTGGCACTTTAAGCAATTTTTTCAAGCAATTCGAGCGGGAGCGCACACATTGGGGAACCCACGAGGAACCGCCCGCCTGGATTACGCGCATTTTTTATTGCCGCCCCCTATTACATATTTTGACAAAACTATCCGATGGGGTGTTTGCTCAATGGCGGCGAAGAGCAATACGCCGAAAAAACCTGTTAAGGAGGAATCGAGAGAGAGAATCAAGTCTAAACGATAATTGTATACTTTGTTGTTGTCCGCTCAAGATCAAATTCGAAAAATAGGGCCGTATTTTGGTGTTATAATTCACTTGCAACACATTGCAAAATTTTGCCTGTCTTTTCGATCTCGTTTCGGGCTCAAAACTAACTGATTTATATTATTTTTCGTTCAGTACCACGAAGACTTGGGCTTAATATAAAAATCATTAAAAGAATCTCAAGTAGGTGTTGTGTGGTGCGCCACTTGATCATATCCAGAAGATTCAGCATAACCGGAAGTAGATTTTGAGTCCAATCAAGGCAAAATCGATTTTGTTTTGCAAAATTATACCAAACAAAGCTGTATTAGAAGAAACTTACTACAGTCCGTTTGTATCCCTATCATAGGGCCTATCTATGGGCAAAGTATGAATGAAATTGATTGTTCGACTGCGCCACCAAAAATCGATTTTGGTCGATTTTTATGGACATTCACTCTAAATAAGTGAAGAACGTTCTTAGCTTTGCGAACTTTGAAGCCGAAATCAGTAATACGATAGTTGCTTTTAAATTTTACTTACTTCGATTAGGTTCTTGTAACTATTTTTTGTTTTCATTTGACAGCACCGTTTGTAAGTGCAACAAACTCCTGTGCAAATTTGTTAGTTAGTCAAACTAACACAGATGGAGAGATCGAGTCGAATCCACACTCTGGGTCTTACACCAATAACATGGATTGCCGGTGGAATTTAAGTTCAAATGCAGAGATTGAACTTGCTTTCCTTCGTTTTAATACTCAACCGTCTGCTGATTTCGTGACAGTTTACGATGGTGGATCATCTTCCTCTCCTCTGATTGGTACATTTAGCGGATCTTCTCTCCCTTCAACCATTCAAAGTTCATCCACAAATCTTTACGTAAGGTTTACATCTGATGGCTCATCAACTTACCAAGGATTTCGCGCACATTACCGAGGTATGATGTCATGCAAGAACATTCTTATTATGAAATGACAGTTAAAATCTCTGTTCAGGAACCAGATATAAAAACTTGAACAAAGAACGATTTTGTCAAAACTAAACTTATTACAAATTAAAATTATTAACACGAAGATGTGGTCATTGTGGCTTTTCATATAATATGTCAAATTATTCTCGCATGTTGTGTAGTTCTTATTACTCTATTGTTCGAACTGTAAGTGTTATTTATTCATTCGCTTATTATATTATATTTATCTTCATGATAATTTGCGTTCTGAAACATTTCACTTAATAGTCATTTCAGAAGGAA